ATGCTGCCGTCGAGACGTACGTATTTGATTTCCAGCTTGTCGAGCGCCAGCTGAATCAGATCAAGGTGGGACGTCCACGTTGAGAAGACAACGGACTTGTAAGGTGGCTCATGCGGGTTCGCGTCGCTGTCGTCTCTCGACTTGAGGAGGTCTTCGACGAGCGCCCTCGTCTTGGTGTGCGGCCCAGTATACTTGTCGAAGCCTTTGCGGCCGTTCGTCGTCGTCTTGTCCTTGGCAGGTCCTTCGTGCTCAACCTTGATTCGCGAGCGACGAATATCCACATAAGCAGGCTTGATGATCGTGGAGCAGATGGGACAGGGTCCGACGGCCTGGCCCGCTGGCAGCAATCGCTTGGCTTGCTCCTTGACACCTCTAATGCAGGAGCCACAAATGATGTGGAAGCACGGCGTCATGTATCCGAGAATGTCTTCTTGTCCCTCCGACTCGATGCTAGCGTCGTCATTGGTGCCCAACTTCTTGGAGCAGGAGCTGCAGACATCTGTGTTCGTTTCCTGCATGAGCTCAAACATCTCATACGCCTTGCGGTCAGACAGCCCGGGCTTCTGGTCTTCATCGTCGCTGTCCAGGTCAATAGCCATGTCAGCAGTCATTCCTTGAAGAGCCTCGAGATCTTCATCGTTGAGAAGATCCTTGCCGTGGGCACAGAGGAGCCGGAGCCGCAAAATGGAACGAAGAATGTGGATGTATGTGTGCCCTCCCAATGCACGCTGCACCCCGTTTCCAGCGAGAACCTTGACTCGGTCCTGGGCGTTCTTTTCAAACAGATCGTAAATCTCGCGCTCCTCCGCCGTGAAGTCGAGCTTGACAATGTGGTCGCTCCGCGGGGGCAGGTTGATCTTGTCCTTCAACCGGCGGAGGGTAACGCTGTCCACCAGCACGCGGAGCTTTGGCACAATCTCCGTGTCACACGCCTTGAACGGGTCCACGATGAAGCGGTTGAACTTGTTCCGATCGTCAAAGGGTCTGAGTCTGATAAACTGGAGCAACGCAGCCAAGTCTTCAAGACGGTTCTGGACGGGGGTTCCGGTGACGGCCCAACGGCGTGCAGCCTGCAGTCGGACAATGGCTTTGAACTGGAGAGTCGCCACCTCACGAATCATGTGAGCCTCGTCGAGCACGATACGGAACCAGCCAATTTCTTCCAAGGGGTATTTGCCTCCCTTGCGCTTGCTGCGTGCGCCCAATTCGCTCGACACGGAGCCGTAGGTGGTGATGACCAGGTCGTAGTCTGCCAGCTTATCGGCCTCCCTGGTCCTGTTCGAGCCGTGGTAAATGTAGTAGCTCAGCTCGCCAGGCGCAATGTGCTGCTTGATTTGCTCCTCCCAGTTAGTCACTGTGCTCAGGGGGCAGACCAGCAGAGTTGCTCTTGTGTTCGTGGTGACGCTGGTCAGCGGCAGGGTGCTTGACGCCGTCGCTTTGCCTCCTGCCTTTTGCGGTGGCATCTCAGGCTGGACCGGAGCGCGGCTGGCCCATTCGCGGGCTTGGTCAAGCGAGCTGGCGATGAGCGAGAGGACACTCAGGGTCTTTCCCAGGCCCATCATGTCGGCAAGGATACCGCCGTGGGTATCACTGGGAAGCTGTCGCTCTGCATGACCGGTGATGACGTTGTAGTAAGACTTTTGACCGTTGGGGCCAATGCGTAACTGCCACATGGTACCCTTGGTTCTCTCCTCGGCACTCGATGTCTTTTCTCTCGATGTCATGAAATACAGTCCCTGCTTCTGGTGCTTGAGCAGCGGAGTGGTGATGACGGCGGCTGGATCAAGCTCTGGGAGCTCATCACTGTTACCCATCGAATCAAACACGCCCATGACGTCTGAGCGGATCTCCTCCACGGTCCGCGGGGTCGGGTTCGTGTAGTAGGTGGTGGACGTCTGGGGGTTGTAGTGGGCAAGTGCTCCCGAGAGGGACCTAGGGGCGTTTCCGGCCGCCGGCTTCGGGGCCTCTGCATGGACGTTCTCGTACCGTATGCCCTTGTCGACTCTGTTAGGGTGACGAAGGATAATGTTGTGTCTCTGAAAGTGCTTGCCGATGGCTTTGGCGAACTTGTACTGGCCGTAAAGCGTCATCTCCACAGGGTAGGATCGCGATATGGGCTGGCCCGGTTGCTCGTCAGGCTGCTTCCGACGCCCTGGGATCTTGCAGTCGGTCCTGAGACTGACGTTGGAGTCCAGCAACGGGACGAGCGCAGTAGCAGTGGCCGCGTCCACGTTTCCGATAATCTCTCGAGTATGATCGTATGCCTGGATTCGCTTGGTCGATTCACCCAGGATTCTCTTCAGAACGATCTTGACCGGCGCCGTGTAGTCCGCTCCAAAGATACTCTGCGCTCCAGGCTTCGCGGATGGTACCCTATGGCAGTCGAGGTGACCAGACAACATGCCGTAGCAGACCTCTTCGTTACCGGGGTTCGCGACCATGACAACGTCGTCGTCACCTCCTGTCAAATCCACGGTCTGTGTGGACGCCTGTGGACCTTCCTTCTTGCCCTCGTCTTGCTTTTCCTTCACATATGCGCCAAGCATGCCGCTGCCCCCACCTGCCATGGTCTTCTTGTTGCTGTCCGCCTCAGACTCGGGGGTGTCGACTTTTCTGCGCTTGGGTTGGGGAGCTGCGGCGCGGTCTTGAACATGGTTCATCCGCTCAATGACGCTACCCATTCCGTAGGGCGAAGCGCCGCCGTCGAGGACGGGTGTCGACGCGCCCGAAGCCATGCTGGGCGTCAAAGATTCGCTGGGCGTGTCATTCGGACTCGCGAATTGGAACACCATCGCGTTGTTTGCGTTGTGATTCATCGGGGCGGCTCGTGTCGCTAGAGTTTGTGGTTTTGGGGAGTTTCGTCTCGCGGTCGAGGTCGAAGACGCATACGAACGAGGGGCTAGCAAGGCTTGCGCGTTCCACGTTTGCGGCTGGGGGTTGGTGGCCAAGCTGGCTCGGCCTGGAGGGGGAGATCTTGTCAGTATTACCCCGCTCTCTGTGTGCCTGGGAAGGTCGAAGGCTATGGGAGATATCGAAGAGGAAGGAGGGGAGGTGCTGTGGTCGAAGGCAAGAGGCAGGGACTCACCGTTTGGTCTGTTTGGAGACGCCATGGCGACGACTTGTCACCAGACAGGTACCAAGCCTCGAGGATCGGTGGGTTCTGGAGGCCTCACACCAGTAGGCTTCGTATTATAGGCAGTCTGGACGGAGTTGTTGCAATCATCACAGACGAGAGATTTGTAGAAGGTATTTTATATCACTCTGGCGGCGGGGTTGAAAGCACTAAGGTCCTGAGTGTGTAGCTGAGATGGAGAAAGATTCGGAAAAGAGAGATTGAACCTGGCAATCACAAGACTTCCAGCCAGTAAATGCTGCTGCTGGGAACAGATGGGAAGGAACAGCCGACCACAGCCAGTCAGTCGGGGCGAGGCAGGCACAAGGCTGGTGGTAGATTCAATGTGTTGTGGTGAATACAAGACCGACAAGGTATCCAGGCGGGGAGTCACAACCGGGGTGTGAGTCGTTCTCGAAGTCGTTATCGTCGCTCTTCGGGTAAAGAGATGAGAGCGCAAAGCCAAAGGTCGTGATTGGGGCGCAAAGGGGGAACGAGGTCGAAAGTCGTCGTCGAGTCGAGTCGACACCAGATCAAAGTGCGCTGACTTCCATGCCGCCGTGTCCCTGCCTTTGATAAGGAAGGGCGAGATGGGGAAGAAAAACTTCCTCCGGTCTGGCGCGAAGGACGGAAAAATCAAATGGTGATGACAATAAGGCAAGCGCCGGTCTAGTGCAGACCCAGGGCAGGAAGGGCGCTGGCGTACTCGCGGAGAGGTGCGGCTGAGGTGGGTGCTGAGGTAAAGGTGGTGGTGGAGGTGGTGGTGGTGGTAGGCGCGGCATATGGGATGCGGTGCGGCGTTGGCTGCAGCAGCGCAGCCTTCTTGCAGCTGAGGTCACTCCCTCCGCCTCTTGCAGCGGGGCATCTGCGGTGGAGACAGGCTGGTTCCCGATTCCGATTAGCTATCTGGAAAGTTCATCTTCCTCACGTGGCCATCCTTTTCAGAGGGAGCCTGGTCTGTGCGCCCCACATCAATCCATCTCGGCCCAGCCAACATCCCACTCTCTGTGTCACTCTAGACGACACTATGCGCTCTTAGCACCCGCTTGTCCAAGGCAACCTGTGAAAGTGTGAAAGTCTGAGGGGTCACTTGACCCGTCGACTTTTTCCACACCTCGCTGTCTGGCCCCGACGACTCGTATCGCTCACTCACTGGCTTCTTTGTCTTGTTGCCAAAGCTTGGATTGAACTCCTGAATTCCTATCAATGTGTAACCCAGGGTTGCCGTAATGATACAAAGTTGCAGACACAGGATGCATTGCACCCTCCGAGAAACCCACATCCGGGCATCGCCTGTAAATGATACATCTGCACCTCCGAACAACCTTCAACAGTCCGTCCCTTGCTAGTTGCATCTCATTGCCCGATCTTCCGAGTCTTACCCACCATTCTCCAGGCCGAGCTGGATACGACCGCCCGACCAAGACATTAAATGATGGCCCCAGGCTGCACACACCCTTCGTTTTGAGACTGCCTATTTTCACACCGAGCCTCTGTAACTCTATTCCCCGTGGTCTTAAGAGTTACATGTAACCTCACCGGCAGGTAGCAAGGAGACAGAGACAACTCGCCAAAAGCACAGCAAACGAGGACTGCCTCCTTGCACGGGTTCCGCCGAGTCACATGGTGACTCCGGGAGTCTGGGTGCCTGTCTTGCGTTATCTGAGCTGTCCGAGACACGAGCATCTCCAGAATGCTGCCAGCCCTGTCGCCGCCCTCAGGCCCGTCCGACTAGCGGCGGGATAATTCGTTGCTCATGTTTTTTTTTCGCACACCGCAAAATGCCATGTGAGCAGCATGCTCGACCGGTGGTGCTGCCGTTTTTTTCTGTTTCCCATCTTTTCGGATTCCATATCGCTCGTCTCCAGTCTCGTGATTGACGACGTAATCAGTCCTCGCCGGGCTTGCCCGACTTCTTGAATAGCTCCTGGAACAGCCGAGGGGGCTGCTCCTTGGGCTGAAGCGCATCCTTCGTGTGGGTGCGGCTCCGGCTCCGGGTCCTCTGACGGCGCCGAGGCGGCGGCTGTTGGTGATTGGGCGACCGGGACCGGGAAGGGCTTTGGCTCCGTCGTCGGTCTAGGAGGACGACCCGGAGCAGCCGCTTTCTCGTCGGGGAGACCGAAGGGTTCAGCAGGCCTCGAGAGGACGCCCGAGAGGAGAGCGCCATCGGGGAGGTCGATCGACGGCGGGGACGGCCGCGAAACGTGCTCGACTCGCCCGTGCCGCCGTAGTGGGTCGCCGGCATGTCACTCCTCGTGAGGCTCCGGTGCCTCTTGCGGCCGCGGTGGGCATCTGGGTCGGGCGAGAAAGGCCTCGACGTCACGTCCAGGAATCTGATTCCGGTCTCTAATTGGGCAGCCATGCTGAAAGACTTATCGGTACAGGGAATAGTATGATTGATGCCAAGGTTTGCAGCTCTGTATTGATAATTTGCCTATTGGTAGACAAAAATACTGTCCGGACGGAGACGGGGGCGAAAGGTGGAGCGGACGAACAGAATATAAAGAGATTTGGAGACTGCCCAGAAAGATGAGGGGGAGCAGAGCACGAGGCCCGCGGAAGGGATTGGCCGATGTGGCAGGAGATGGTCTTGATCGGGATCTTGCAAGACGCCGGGAGGCTTGGTGGTGGGAAGATCAGCCGGGTAGACTGGTTCTTAGTCGTCCGAACCGCAAACGATGATGCTGGACCTGCCACTCGGCAAGGAAGCGGTAGGCTGCGTGCCTGGAATTGGACGTTGGCACGAAAGACCTGCAGATTCCGATGCAAGTCTGTGACAGGATTGGCCGTGGTGATGCAAACGGAATGTTTTCAGCGTGATGGTGCGGAAAGACATTGACAGGTCTTCGCAGTCGCCTGATGAATCGAACCAATTCGCGGGTGGAAGAGACGGACATTGGGTGTGAGTGGGCCCATCTGCGACCCGAGAGCTTGGGGATTCCGGGGCGTGGCAGTGACTTTCTATTCGATGCCTCTCCGAACGGGAAGAGCTTAGATGAGCTGTGCCTGTTCTGTCCGTGACGGAGGATGGCTGATATTAGATAGTAGTAAGTTGACATTGCCTGTGGTCGCGCATCCCAAAGTCGTCGAGGCCATCTCATCGCCCATACACAACGTGAGCCTCCCTGAGGTATCACGAGCTTTGCCGGTAACATCGGGACGAGCAAGACATTGTGGCACCCAATGCCCCGCCCGCCGCGGCCCCCGTATCTTCCTACCTGGGTATTACCCATCTCAGTCAAAGCGTTTGGCCCGATGCTCCCGCCGCCGGCTGCCTGCCGCGGTGCAGGCCGATCCGGAAAGCGTTTAGCGAATGGCGACCTACCCAAGACCTCTGCCAACAACCGACCAAACGTCGGTCCTACGCGAGCCGTTTCGATACGACTAACAAACGTCCGTTGATGCCAAAAGTCCAGAGACTGCCTCGGACAGGGAGAATGTGTTGGTTGGCAACGTTCATGACTTGGTCCGGTCGGGTAAGATCGGTGGGTTTGACAGCTGTGATTCACGGAGCTTACTTTCCAGCAAGCCAGTCAACAATTGATGAGAAGCACATCTGGCGTCTTCGCGAGGCGCCTCGAGAGCTCCTCAGAGACTGGCCACTCATTACAGGCCATGCTGCCACGAGGTGCAGGTTTGGCAGGGAGAAGGCCGGGTGCCGGGTAGACGCGGTCCGCAGGTGCCTGGAACCTTGGGGCACCTCACCTTACCTACCGTACCTACCTTACCTAGCAGCTAAGTAACTTAGGTAGCATCCAGAGCTACCAACCCGCCTGACGAACAGCTCAAGTGCCCTGTAGCCAAACTCAGGTACCTCACAAGGTACCTCGGCGCTTTGCGTTGCACCAGGATGGCAGCAGCACCGGCTGCACCCCAATGACAGCATCGCCGTCCGCCGAAACTTGACGACACACTTTCTCGCCGACGACGACACGACCACGACCACGACGCGACATCTGAGAGACGGCCTCCTTGTGTGTCCCCGACAACCACTTGTCCTTTTGGTGCTTTCTCTGCTCCACCGCCAGACCTGCTGCCTGCTCTCGTTGTTGGCACCACGTTTGTTTCATTTTTTGCTGTATTACTAGTTCTTATCCGCCTCCCTTCCTTCCATAGACTTTGTGTGGCTTCTTCCGTCCTCAGGCCAGGTTTCCGCGCTCTTTTCGCCGCTGTTCTTTTCGCATCGCAACGGTGACACGCTGAATTGCCACGTTCGAGCATCCTCGATTGCGAAATCCACCACAACCCTGCGGTTGCTCCGTAAGCGAGCCTCACGAATTCTCCTCTCGCGACGATAGCCTCCCTTTCCTCGCCCTTCCGCCAACCGACTGCCCGCGATGCCTCGCTCTAGGCCCGCGACGACGGGCTATGAGCGCCTCGCTCAAGCCGACGCGCTCTCCTCCGACTCGGAAGACGACGACCCCTTGACCCAGTCCTACGCCTCCCTCCAGCCGCCGGTCGCCCCTCGCTTTGCCCCCATCACCCAGCCGCGTCCCCGCTCGGGCATGACGACCCCGAAACCCATATCCATAACCACCTCCGGCCCCTCTGCCAGGCCGAGAAACCGTCGCCGCGGCGGGAGCAACTCCGGCGTTGATCTCAAGGCCATCAACGCCCGCCTCGAGCGCTGGGCCGACGAAATCGCCAGTCGCTTCAAGCGCACCAAACGCGGCAAGGTCGGCGAGGAAGAGCGCCTCGAGATCCACCACTCCGTCTTCCAGGCCCCCGAGGGCGTCAGGCCCATCACACCGGAAGGTCTGGCCGTCGTGCAAGATGTCATGACCAAGTTCGAGTTCGAGGAGATTCTCGGGAGCGTGAAGCAAGCTATCCTCCAGGGCACGCACCCGCGCATGATCTCTCAGGGTAGCTCAGGCAGTTACTTTGCTCGGAATACCGAGGGCAAGGTCGTCGGGGTGTTCAAGCCAAAGGACGAAGAGCCGTACGCAGCGGGCAACCCCAAGTGGAACAAGTGGATTCACAGAAATCTGTTCCCGTGCTGCTTCGGGCGAGCATGGTGAGTTGGCCTTGACTCTGGCTGGATACGGAAACGCTAACACGTGCAGCCTCATTCCGAACCTCTCATATGTCAGCGAAGCAGCTGCGTATACCCTCGACTGTCAACTTCGCACGCACATGGTCCCGTACACGGACGTTGTATGGCTCTCCTCAAAGTCTTTCCACTACCCGTTCTGGGACCGTCGCAACTACTACCGGAAACAGAAGCCCCTTCCAGAGAAGCCGGGAAGCTTCCAGGTGTTCCTCAAAGGCTTCAAGGACGCCAACGTGTTCCTGCGAGAGCACCCGTGGCCAGACCAGTACTGGTCCGGTTTCAGGGCGAATGATCCGCACCGCAAGCGCAGGAGGAGGTGGGCGGACAACTGCCGCCCCAGCAGCGGCGCTGCGTTGGATGACATTGAAAGCGACGACGAAAGCAGGCCGGACGAACTACCTCTCGGGCCCGATAACTTCGTGTGGACCGAAACGCTGAAACAGTCGTTCCGGGAAGAGCTGGAGAAGCTCGTCATTTTGGATTACATCATGCGAAACACTGATCGAGGTCTGGACAACTGGATGATCAAGGTGGACTGGAACACGCAACAAGTATCAATCGCCTCGGAGCCGCTTCAGATGCACATGGAGACGGCCCCGTCCGCGGAGGAAGAAGGCCCACGGCCGGTCGACCTGAGCCAGCGACCATCGCCCAATCGCTCCTCGTACCCCTATAAGACGCAGCAGCCCATGCAGGCGTCGAGCCCCTCGCCCAGAACGCAAGACCCTAAGATTACGATCGGTGCCATTGACAACTCACTCTCCTGGCCCTGGAAGCATCCAGACGCATGGCGAAGGTGTGTAGTATACTCCCCCTCTGGATTCCACCTCTCACGGCAGCTTTGCCGGGCGAGGAAGTGAATCCGCGCAGAAGCCGTCATGCTAACGAGATCTTCACGCGCAGCTTCCCCTTCGGATGGCTCTTTCTGCCGGTCGACCTCATTGGCCGGCCATTCTCGCAAAAGACACGGGACCATTTCCTCCCACTTCTGACGTCGACGCACTGGTGGAGCCAGACGCAATTGGCGCTGAGGAAGGTGTTCCAATTGGATCCCGATTTCCAGGAAAAGATGTTCGCGCGGCAGATCGCCGTCATGAAGGGGCAGGCGTGGAATGTCGTCGAGACGCTCAAGACGCCGGACCACGGTCCGCTGGAGCTCACCCGCCGCGCCAAGGTGTGCGTCTGGGACGACCTCGTCGACGTGCCCGTCGCCGTGCCCATGCGGGTGGCCTCTGCTGAGATGATGCGTCACGAGGCAGAGCTTCGCCGTTCCATTGACGAAGGGGACATTGGCGAGGCCAACGCGTCCAACGCACCTGCACCTGCACACCGCACCGACGAGGATCTGCTCGGCTTCGCCAGCCCGCCGGCCGACATGCCTCACCCGGGTAGGTTCGAGATAGCAATGAGTCCGACGGGCGAGGGCGCCCAGTCTCCCGACGAGATGTCGATGAACGGCTCCGGTATCTTGGCGTCGTCCGCGCCCCTGGGTAAGGAACCGACGGCGCAACGACCCAAGTTTTCAGGCCAGGCACACCGCGAGAGCTATCACGGATCCCGCGCGCTCAACATGTATTCTCCCGCCCGCCAGCAGCAGTCACAGCAGCGACGGTACTCGTTTGCGACGGCGGCGGGACGGCGCAACAGCAGCAGCATCGCGCAGCAGCTGTACGGGGCGCGACCGAGTCACGAATACGATGAACACGACCTTGAAGACGGCGATTTGGGTTACGCTGCGGCGGAGGGGATGGAGGGCAACCAACGCAAGGTTATTGTGGAGAGGCTGGAGCCTGTGAAAGCCAGGAACCCGGTTTTCACCTGCTGGTGATCCACCACGCTTGCATCGAGCAAAACATCCACGGGGGATGGTGGAGAGGGGCCGACACGGAGTCCAAAGAGGAGTTAAGTTGGAGCTAGAATATCGGTTGGTGGGTTTTGCGCTCCGCTCGCTGCGCATGCAAGGGGTGGAGAGAGCGAATGTTATTATTATTTCTCACTTCTCTTTCACTTCTTCTGTTTTGGGCAACCACCACGCCGAGCACGAATAGGGATGCCTGGAGTTCGTTTGGGACCATTTCGGATCCTGTCTAGAATAGTGACTTGCACGCGCGCATCAGGACGAATCATGTCATCATCATCATCCCCTTGGAAAGAGGCATTGACGGCGTTCTTCTGGCTGGGTGCGGTTCAGGACCTCGTATGAATCCGTCGTACGGGCCGGTCTACTTGGCAGAGACCGAGACGGGGTAGGAGAGAGCGAGAGAGACGATGGGCGTCTGAGGAAGAGACACACACGATATGCATGATATGCG